CAAAAATCTCTTGGAGGTGTTCAGCACTTGTTCAGTAAACAAGAAAATCTATAAATTACTCTAAGGTCAAGATTGCGATTTTTAGCAGCCTCAGCCCTCGGTATAGATGGTGCTTGGATCAGAAGACTATAGAACAAACTTGTTCATTTAGATACCTGAGTGTACTCTTTAATTAAACCTTTTATTGAAAGTGTCATATGGAGGCAGGGAAAGTCAAAGCACAGAAAACTATAGGGGCATTGATGAACTTTTACTACAATAATGGAGGGCAGCTGATCGAACCTGCCCTCAATATATTTGGTAGTAAACTGCTTACTCAAATGCTCTATGGCATTGAAATCTGGGGCTCTGATTGAAACTCCATTAAAGTTTTGGAAACTGAAAAACAATGGGTTTCTTTTTCATAAGCTGTACTCTGTATCAGGAATATCAGCAGTTCTTCTTCATATAGAATTTGGGTGGCCAACAATTAAGGCAAGATTGGACTGCGCTCAGTATATTTCAAAAATTGCTACTATGCAAATTGGGCATTTTCCTGCTCTGTGTTATATAGAATTGGGTGATAACCAATTCTGGAAAGCACTAATTGTCAAGACGCTTTAGACTATTATGATTTTCCAGAACTGAGCTCTGCTTTGACTTTGAATGTGTCAACTAAGGGATAAGCTCTTCTGGATAGAATTCAGAAGGAACTGCAACTAACTAGAACCACCATACTTTCGCCTTGGTATCCACTCTTGGGGACAGAGCATTTTAGAGCTAGTTATCTGTGTGCTGAAGAGTTGCACATACCTTTATGAATCTGCCCAATGAAAACTACAGCTACAATGTGAATAATGTTATTGGAACAAGAATATTGCGTACAATAGTACCAACATCCTGTTGTCTTTTAAAGCAATCTTTGAAATAGGATATATATATATATATATTCGTACAGAGGTACAAAGTCTGTAAATAACTATCCACCCGGTACTGTCTGGATAAAGAGCTCCCTTTTGGGCTCTCTTAAAGTCAACAGAAGAAAGCAAAAGTAGAACTCAAAAGAGCGTTCCACCCCATTTCTGGCTTTCAGAGGTGAAATGCGTACTTTCCTATAATGGCCTTCTCTAGTATCCTGCATCTTAAACATATTCTGGCAAAATGTTTTGAGTAAACAAAATCCAATTCAAAATTGTTTTGGCACAAAAATGCATGTCAATGTACTCTTCTACACACTAAATGATTGGCACAATCTGATCTGATTAACAGCTAGCAATACTGTTACTCACAATTTTTAAATAATTTTAAGATGACCATTTAGCAATCACTATCTGATTAATTTAGTGACCACTCCATATCTTACTATCATTGCTACTAAAAGAGTGGGAGGCTATTGCCTTTTACATCATAATTCAACATTGGTAGAAGTGTGTGTGTGTGTGTGTGTGTGTGTGTGTGTGTGTGTGTGTAAGGAAAAACATAAGTTCAGGTTGATTTCCAAATTGCAGTTAAATGTTCTAAGAGAAACTAACGTTGAAGTGTGGCAAAACAAAATAAAGGTCAAATGCTCTGTGTAGGAAGCAAAACTGCATACATTTTTGAATTACATCTTTCTATACACTCCTCAATATTTGGTGGGGAGGAAAACACAAAATTCTTCACATAAACTGCTTTTGTTCGGCACAGGTTACAAATAGCTCATGCAAGATGCTTCCACCAAAATACATCATATTGTCTCCAACATAATGCAAAAAACCAGGTTGCGTATTAAAAAGGTCCAAGCGAAGCAAGCTAACAAATCCCACAATATCAAATTGGTTTTTGAACCAAGTTTGCACATTTAAGAATGAGATAGCAAACACACACACTCTTTTTGTCACACTAACCAGGGTGTCTGCATTCGTGACCGAACATTGTATTTGCATTCATCAGCATGCATTTCTCTATAATGGAATTCCACACAAGATGCTATGCAGCTTGAGATAACACAATATTTACCCTAGCTTGGCTCTAACAGCGCTAACTGTTAAACGGTTTGCTTTGCATACAACCTCCCAACAAGCTAAAAGCAGAGAGAAACCACCTTAATTCAAAACAAAATAGATAGTTCTATAACAGTAGGTCACAACCAAAGGCACGGAAATTTGTTTTTCAAATACCTATGAATGGTTCACAGTGTGAGAAATTCAACAGTGCTTCTCTTTTGGGGGTGCAGATTCAGAATCAGTCCCTTGCATCACATCTAAGTTTTAAGCTTAAAGTGCAGGTGCCACACATTTGTAGTAACCTATTTCAAAACTCCACTTGCTGGAAGGTATCACAGAACAGGTAGGGCTGTATGTAGAGTAGCGTCTTTGTAAGGAAGAGATAGAAGGGATAGATCTTAATCCTGATCGTTTTTAGCATCCCTCCCAAACAAATGAAAAAAGTGTTTCGGCAAGAGTTAATTCTCTCTTTCCTTGCATCCTTTTAATGCATGTATTGCATTAGTCCTATTAGAATTGGTGTGCTTAACATTTGTGTTTAGTGTCAGTTGCTTTCCAACCTCACAACTACAAAGCCCATTAGATTAAAACACCCTGGTTATGTAGAAAATCATACCTACTGTAATGGTATAAACTGTTCTCTTTCTCACTGCCTAGCCCTTGACAATGTTAAAAGTGTCAGAGTACAGCAGACTTCAATGGGCCTGTTTTTGGCTGGGTGTCTACCTGTAGTGGCTTGAAACAGTTTCCTCTCCAAGAGTAACCACAGTGCGAACAAAACCTTGTAACAAAAAAAGCTGTTTGGGATTAACCAAGCCCATGTGAGTGAGGATAGAGTAACAATATAGCTGGGAAACGGGGTTCACGTTCGCTTCTACAGGATACTTGCTACTATCTACTTGTATGCAGGGCTGCATATGATGAGAGCTCATTTGCTTTCGGGCAGTAGCTTCCTCTGTAGTGATATGTGAAAGAGGGTTCCTAGTGCCAAGATCTTGGCTTGCTTCCTGTACCTGTTAGGAGTCACAAAGAAGTGGGTGGTATCAACAGGTGCTGCTTTCCTCATGGAAAGTGGTGAGAAGAAGTTGCACCTGGTAGAAGGTTTCATCCCCAAAAGGTATGGAAGCATTCTCAGGATCTGGACTTGGAAACTTTAGTGAGCCTAATGCCTTCACCTGACTGCAACTCCCGGCTTGTGAAGGCAGAGAGGCATCCATACCATTATTTTCTCACTGTTGGTAGGTCAAGTGGCTGTACCTGATCTATTTAACTGGTGCTTGGGGTGGGGATGGGGAGCCACAAAGTGGAGGCTTCTTGTGTTTGTTGATGAGCTACTTGCAGCACCAGCCCAATAGATTCCCACTCTAAATTTCACAGATTGAGAAGCACACTCCAGCATCCATTGCATTCTTGCAGAGGATGCTACAGTGGAATTCTCAGATACACATGCTCATTCAGGGATTCCTCTCAAAAGCATCTAATGGACCCAGCAAGTAGATGGGCTGCTTTGCACTCCAGCTGGCCCTGTCTGCTTTGCAGCCTTTGAATGTGTTTCTGTGTGCTTGTGTGGTGTCGCCCCATCCCCCTTGTGTGCGCTCACATGTGCACATGCAATTGTAGGTAGGCACAATTGTGTGTCTGTTTCCATTTATGGCTCTGTGCCAGTTGGATGTGTGACTAAATGGGAGAAGGGGGAAAGGGGGTGGAGTGGAACTGAAGGCTGGAGACATCTCTGACTTCCTACATTGCTAATTCTTTCGTTCCATTATGTGTGTCAGTGTGTGTGTGCTGCCAAACAGTGTGAAGGCACAGTCCGATGATCATTTAACTGAAATTAATAGTTTCCTCTTCATACTTCAATTATCCTGGCCTACTAATAAGCAGGGTATTTCAGGAATAGCAAAAGGAGGTGGGTTTTTTTGCTCAGCAGTGCATGTTAATTGCTCTGTTCTGTATGAAGTGATCCTTACTATATTTTCCAAAATGACTCTCCAAATCATTGAACCAGAATATTTTGGGATATATATATATATATATATATATATATATATGATATTTTGCATATATTCCTATTCCTTAATAAGAGTATGTTGGATTAGATGCAAGAGATGGGATTGTGCATGCAGAAATTTAAGTTTCTCTGTGTGTGTGTGTGTGTGTGTGTGTGTGTGTGTTGGAAAGAAAGAAAGAAAGAGCGAGCCACTATAGTGGCTGTGGTGTGTAATACAGTGGGAAAACTTGCTTAGGACAGATAGTTGTGTGATGGGTGGTGAGCCTTCAACAGCTGTGAAATATGGGAGGGCTATGGCAGGTCTGACTATGCCTTTGAAAATCATTTAACTGAAATTATCGTTTACTATTAACACACTCGGCTTTAACTATCCCATCCACTCAAGGCTGGTGTATGTAAAAGTTGAGAAAGGAAGTTGAATTTTGACCATAAATGCATGCCCATTCTTCCAATCAGCATTAGTGTTAGTGACTTTGGTGCTTTAGAGTTCTAATTATTCCAGACTAATGGTATGAGAGAGGCACTGGGAAGCTTGTTGTGTGTAGGTGTGAGCGTGACTGTAAAAGGGAGGGGAAGAACAGGTGTAAATTAGAGAAGTGGCTGCATGTGTGTGTAAGTGTAGGAGGAGTAATAGCAGGTGTGTCTGAGTGCAAGTATCCCTTTCATCTAGATTAACAGTTTAGTCTTAAGGCTTTTCAAACAGGCTGTCTGTCATCCTCACAACCAGGGTGGATCGTCATACTAAAAGGCACCTTAACATTGGGAACAGAAATTCTGTTTGCATTGGTGCTCCTGTGATTCTTAGTTGAGGAAATGTTAATTCATAAAATATACACCTGATCCTAAAGGCAGATTCTGGCGGTGAGTGGTTGTAAAACAGGTGTGGGCTGGGGCTTGACTGCCTGTGGGAGAGGAGCAGCAGGCGAGCCTGTGCCTGTGAACGGCTAGGAAGGGTGTAAAGGGGGTGAGCTCCCCCCCTTCTCCCCACCCACCCACCCACCCCTGCATGCCTCCATCCGCCTTACCTGCTTGCTGTACTTGCTGCTGGCTTGACAGCTGTACTCGGAGCAGTGGTCCGAGCCGATGGAGATGTTGTCCCCAGCGCCTACGAAGGTGTTGGCCGGGGGCAGTTCCTGGACGGCCTGGTGTTTTTTCCCGGCGGTGGGGGACTGCGGGTGCAGCTGCACCGTGGGCAAAGGCGAGCTGGATTTGTAATGCCTGGCCAGATCCGGGCTGCCGGGCCCGCCGTTGACGGAGCGGTAGCGGCTCATGCTGGGGCTGTCCCCGGACAGCTTCTCGTTGACGCCGTCGTAGCGCTGCCCATTGGGCTTGGAAGCCTCGACCGTGACGATGCTGCTGTAGAGGGGCTGCTTGCCTTGCTTCTTGCCTTTCTTGTCCTTCTTGGGCTTCTTGGCCTTGTCGTGCTGCTGCGGCGTGAAGAAGTCCTCGTGGTCCTTCTTGCCGGCCTCGTAGCCGCCGTGCTTGCCCTTGGAGCGGCAGTAGCGCGCCATGACGACCACCAGGATGAGCAGGACCACGGTCATGATGCCGGCCACCACGCCCACGACGATGCTGAGGCGCTGCTTGCTTAACTCGTAGCTGGGGTCGCCGGCGATGTCGTGCGCCAGCGGCGTGTGCAGGCTGCGCGCCACTTGGCTCTCCACGACGGTGGCGTTGGCCAGGCTCTCGTTGACGAAGACGTGCAGCAGCGCCGTGGTGGACTGCGGAGGCTGCCCGCTGTCGTTGACCTGCACCACCAGGCGGTGCAGGCCGTAGTGCTTGGGCGCCAGCTTGCCCACCAGAGACACGACGCCGCTCGACGGGTCGATCTCGAACAGCTTGAACGGGTTGCCGCCCACGATGCTATAGCTCAGCTCCGCGTTCTGGCCAGCGTCCGCGTCTTTGGCCTGCACCGTGGTCACCACGGAGCGCACGTTGCTGGAGGGCGGCAGCACCGTGTAGGAGCTGTTGGCCGGAGACGTGACCACGGGCGCGTTGTCGTTCTCATCCATGACGAAGAGCGACACGGTGGCCGTGGCCGAGCGGGCCGGCTCTCCTCCATCCACGGCCTTTACCTTGAAGGTGTAGCTGGTCTGCAGCTCGCGGTCGAACGAGACCGTCGAGTAGATGGTGCCCGTGTCGTTCTCGATGGAGAAGATGCCCGGCGCGCCTTGCGCTTGGTCCCCGGGCTGTATGGAGAGGCTGAGCTGCGCGTTGCGCCCCTTGTCGGCGTCCATCACTGTCACCATGCCCACTGGGCTGTTGGGCTGCAGGTTCTCCTTGACGTAGAAGGTGAACACGTCCTGCATGAAGCGCGGCTCGTTGTCGTTGCGGTCGGCCACGCGCACCACCACCGTGGTGGAGCCCTGCAGCGACGGGACCCCTTTGTCCCGGGCCGTCACCTGGAACTCGTAGGTGTCCCTCTGCTCGCGATCCAAAACGGCCTGGACGCGCACGTCCCCGGAATCGGGGTCGATGGTGAAGAGGCCTCCGGGAGACTCGGCAGAGAGCGGGGAAGGCTCCAGGGAATAGGCAATCTCGGCGTTCTTGCCACTGTCGGCGTCCGTGGCTATCACCGTGGCCACGCGCTCTCCGGGAGCGTTGTTCTCCGGGAAGGATACCTCCAGCACGGCCTGGCTGAAAACGGGCGGGTTGTCGTTGGTGTCCCCGACGCGCACCAGCAGGGAGTTGTTGCTGGACAGGCTGGGGCTCCCCGAGTCCACGGCCACGATGACCACGTTGTAGTCTCGCACGGCCTCATAGTCCAGAGGCGCCGAGGTGTGCAGGAAATACTTGCGCTTGTTCTGGGGCTCCCCTTCACCCTCGCTGGCCGGCTTGAGCTGGAAAGGCACGTCGCCCACCACGGTGCAGGTCACCACGCCGTTCTCGCCCTGATCCCGGTCGGACACTTGCACCAGGGCGATGGGGGTGTCCACCAGGACGTCTTCGGCCACGCTGGCCACGCCGTCGCGCAGCGGGATGCGCCCGATCTTACGGATGTCGATGGTGGGCACGTTGTCATTCTCGTCGCGGATGTTGAGCACCACCGTGGCCTTGTCCGTCTTGGGGGGCTGCCCGCGGTCCCTGGCCATGACGGTGAAGCGGAGCTGGTTCACTTCCTCGCGGTCGATGCGGTGCAGCACGCTGAGCCAGCCCGACGACTCGTCGAGGCGCAGCAGGCGGCGCACGGACTCGGTGGCTGCCCCGAAGACGTACTCGATCTGGCCGTTCACCCCGACGTCGGAGTCCGCCGCCCTCAGCTGCAGGATCGGGGTGCCGGGGCTGCTGTTCTCAGCCAGGTCGGCCTCGTAGACGCTCTTCTCGAAGCGGGGGCTGTTGTCGTTCACGTCGGTGATAAGCACTCTCAAGATGGCCTGCGAGGAGCGCGCCGGATCTCCGCCGTCCCGCACCCGCAGAGTCAGCTCGTACGAGTCCCTCTGCTCCCGATCCAGCGCCCCTTTGACGATCAACTGGGGCTGCTTCTCGCCATCGGGGGTGTCCGCCACCTGCAGCTCAAACACGCTGCTCCGGGCTCCGCCGTCGGCCTCTTGCCTCCTCTTGCCGCCCCCGGGGTAGAGGGCGCTGTCGGAGGTGGCAGAAGCCGAGCTCCCCCCGCCCCGTCGGCCCCCATCGGGCTCTTGGAGCAGCTCGTAGCGCTCGATGCCGTTGCGCCCGAAGTCCCTGTCGGTGGCAGTGGGCAGCAGGTAGAGGGTGCCCACGGGGCGGTTCTCCTCGACGGTAAGGGTGAGCACGGGGGAGGGGAAGGTAGGGGTGTTGTCGTTGATGTCCAGGATGATGACCCGGCCTTCGAAGAGGTCCACCCAGCTCTGCGACGGGCCGATCACGGACACCTCGAAGTCCAAGAAGCACTCGTTCTCGTCGAAGATCATCTGGCACTGCGGCAGCTTCTCGCGGTCGATGCGCCTCTCGGTGGTGCTCAACTCGCCCGTCATGTTGTCGATCTTCAGGTAGTCGGAGCCGGACTCCAGGCTGAACGTCACCTCGCCCGAGCCCGTCACGATGCCCAGGTCCGAAGCCACGTTGCCGATGCGGATGTCGGCAGGTCCTTCCTCGGCCAGCCGGTATCTCAGCACTTGCTTAGCCGCCGCCAGGCTGACCCAAAGCGGAGGCGGCAGCAAGAGCAAGAAGCAGCAGCAGCAGTAGCAGCACTGCACAAAGCCCAGGAGCGTCCGCATCTTCCACATCTTCTTGAGCGCCCAATGAAAGACCCCACCACCACCACCTTCCTCTGCCCACCCGTGCCAATAAACGCCCCCCTTGGCAAGCCAACAAGAAGATGCCTCGGCGTTTGGCGGGGGGGTGGGGGGGTGGAGGGAAGGATGGAGGTGATGAGGGTGGTGATCAATTATAAAATCCTCTTGCTTCTGCAGAAAACTTCGGGTCTCATCCCATCTGGCGCAAAAAAAAAAGGGTGAAGGGGAGGAGGAGGGAAGGGATCTGGGGTTGGCTGGCGGCTCTTCCCCACCTCTCGTTCCCCCCTTCCTTTTGCAGTTGCTCTATACTCACAGTTCACCGGGCAAGTGTATTTTGCTTTTTTAAAGATTCATCTCGGCAGATAGGATGAAGGAGGGGGGGAGTTCCGCCTCTTCCTCCTCCTCCTTCTCCTCCACCCCCTCCGATGGCACTGTAATCACTTTGCAAGGTTTGCAAGAAAAGCAAGAGCAGCAGCAGCAGCAGCAGCGAGGGATTTGATGCAACCAACCCCTCCCCCGCCGCCTTCTTTTTTACTCCAGTCCAGTTCGATTCGCACTCTTTCCTCTCTGCCTGCTTGCCTGCCTGCCTCTTCCTAGCCGTTTGCCACCGCCGTGGAATTAGCTCTTCTGTTTCTCTCTCCCCCCTCCACTCCGCATACACACGCCGACGAAGGGGTGGGAGGGCGGGTGGAATGTAAATTGCTTCATTCAGAGAGCGCTGGTGTCCGGCGGAAAGGAAAAAGACAAGGCAGCCTCCAAATCCTCTTAGCTAAAGATGGAATGGGGGAAGAGTAAAAATAGCCCCAAAATAAAGAGAGGGGGGAAAATATGCCCAGTCTCCAGTGATGCGACAGCTGTATAGATATTTGGGAGGGTTGCTTCGTCTGCCTTGTATTACAGATCAGTTCTCAAGAAATCCCCTTTGGTTGTCAGGATAGCGCCTAAATCCATCTTTAAGAGATCGCCTCCAATGTTCAGGTCCTTCTAGAGAGAGGAGAGTTCTTCTTCAATATACTGTATATTTTAAAAAAACAAAACTCTGCGCAAGGTCATTGGTCACAAAGCAACATGGTACAAAATCTGCAGGAGATGTTCGTCCGGAATGCAACAAGGATGGAGGGGAATGCACATAGATAGATCTCTTTTCCCCCCGTCTCGCGAGCACGCGCGCGCACACACACACACACGATACAACAGTCCCAAGTTTGTTTTTTTGCATCCGCAGTTGGTGTGCGTGTGCGTCTTACCTGCATTTACACTGCATGTGTTAGAGCAATCGGAGGCTGCAGCACTAGGGAGAGCGATTCACAAATGAGATTGCAGTCTCTCGCTCGCTCCCTCGCTTCTTCCTCGCCGTCCCAATGCAGCGAAAGCAGCGCTGAACTTCATCCCCCTTTTCCTCCCCAGTTCAAAGGTGAGCACAAAGGTTGGCTGCTGGCTGTGTGTGTGTGTCCGTGTCCCCGAAGGCGATTATTCTAAGGCTCCCCCCTCATGGATATATACCCGAGGCAGAAGGGGGTGGGAAAAGGGAAGAGATGTAACTGGATCTTCTTCCCACGTGAATTACCACCGCCGATTCGGAATTACATCCATAGCTGCGGAATGAGGGGGGGGGGGGAGAGAGAAAGAAGGGAGATCTCTTAAAAATAAAAAAAAGGACCAATCCCAAAATAAATGTCCAAATGCAGCGCTGGAGAAGGATTGATTTTAATCGAAGCAGAGTCCGGGTTGCAAACGAGAGACGATCCGAGTCAGTAGTTTCCCTGGACCGCCACTCCGGGCGAGATCTGCAATTGTGCTTGTTTGTAAAGCCCCCTTTTCCTGGCTCGTCTCGCTCAAGTGCGGCTGCTTGGTGCAGGGAAGCTCGCTCGGCTCTTTCCTCCCTCTGACAGACACACACACACACACGGCGAGCGTGACGCTTCCCAGGAAAGGGAGGAAGGAGGAGAGGAGGAAAAAAAAAAAAAGCAGCGGAGCATCAAGTTTTGCCCGAAGTGGCTGGGAAGCTGCTGGGAAGCCTCTCTCGGTGACTCTGCCCTGCTGCTGCTGCTGCAGAGCCGCCTGTGCACTGTAGGCTGAGAGCGAGAGGCAGGCAGAGAAAGAGAAAGAGAGAGAGAGAATGGGGAGGAGTTGGGAGCCGCCGCCGAGCGCTGCACTCCAGAAAAGCCCAGCATTTACCCTCTGCCGTTGCTGCTGCTGCTGGCAAGTGGGCAAGCGGCCTCCCGCAGCGAGATCCCTCGATCCCCCGAGCTGGCCCGATCAGACCTTGCCGTACCACCTCCCGACACATATTTAGGGGAACAGTCCTTTCATGGGTGCTTAAAGGAGCTTGAAAAGCATCCTCCTCGCTCTCTGGGTTGTCAGCGACGCTCTCCACTCCCCCACGTTCCTAACTTGGGGGGGGGGGGTGGAAAGGGAAAGCTCTTGGGGTCGGGCAAGGAGCGGCGTGGGGAGATCACGTGGATCCGAGAGTAGTCGGCTTCGGGTGCTTTTTTTAAAACTTTTCGCTGTGTGGATTTGTGTTGTTTTTTTTGGGGGGGGTGTATTACAGAGGCAAGCAGATGACAAGGCTGCGGCGACCAGGGCGAGATCAGGGAGAGGGATCTCGAGCCTCTCTCCCCACAGAGATCCCTCCTGAGATTAGGACCCTCACATTTATAACATTGAATCTCTCCCGTCTCTGTGAGGCGCCGAGACTGCGGTGGAAGTGGCGGTGTGGGGGGACGTGTGTGTGTGAGAGAGCTCGGAGTTGGCAACGTGAGGCGAGCGCTCGTTTCTGACACGCCGCAAAATGTAGCCGCGCCGTGAGGGGAGCCAACTTTCGCGCCAACTCCGTCCACTCGGCTTCTGGCGGCGACCCGCCGCCTCTCTCCTTCTCTCGACTTTGGCGCGCTTAATCGCCCGCGGCATTTGCTGGCCTCCGCTCTTTTCGGAGGGGCGACCGGCGCCGCCCGCTCGCGCGCCTCCTCCTCCCGCCTTTTCTTCCTCAGTTACTCGGCCTCCTCCTCCTCCTCTCCACTCCGGCGGAGGGAAGGCGGGAGGAGACCCCGAGGCATCTGGGCTGGGCCCAGGGCACAGTGGGGAGGGCACACGGGGTGCGGAATGGCAACGGCAGCAGCAGGAGAGAAACCTGTTCCTCGCTCGTTTCTGAGGGGAGCCGCGCACGTCTTTTTGACGCCGCGCGGCGAGGGCGGCGAGAGGCTTCCTTTCTGCGGGTGACTCAGCTCCCTCACAAAATGAAGGAGGTTTTCTGGGAAGGAACGTGCGGCGCGCGAGAGCGGGGAACGGGAGAGCCGCTTTGGAAAGAGAGACAGCGGCGGGCTGGAGGCTCCCGCCGCCGCCGCTATGTCTGACTCAGACATGATTCCGCGCTTCCTCTGAGGCGAGAGGGGGCTCCCCTCCTTTTGGCGCGCGACTGGCGCGGCGGCAACAGCTGCGGGCGCTCGAGCTCGCTCGCGCCCTCGCTGGTTGGCCGGCGAGCCTCCCAAGCCCCGCCTCCGTGGACCCCGCCGGAGACCCTGGGTTTGTCAGATCTGCAGCATCAGCGAGAAAAGAGGCGACTTGGCGCAGACTCAGTGCGCATCGCCGCAGTCCCGGTGCGTGGGGGGGGGGGGGAGGAGGGAGGGGGAGGAAAGAGGGAGGCGGGCAGCTCCGGCAGCTTCTCAGCGGGTTAAGTGGGATTAATACCAAATATCCGCTTTATTTGCCAAGCAACTTGACTTTGTCAAAAACCTCTCTCTCTGCCTCCGCCTTCCCCCCCGCCCCTCCTCGGTGCTGGGGCGCGCCCGCGCCGTCTTGGGAGGCGGCGACAACTCTTGCCCCTGCGGGAGCTCCAGGCGTGCCAGCAGCGATCCCCAAGAACTAGGCAGCCCTGCCAGAGAGTGCGCTACAATTACATTGCATTGCATTGTGTTGCATTACAATCCATTGCATTGCATTGCAAACCATTGCATTGCGTTTCCCCCCTGGGCTTCCTTTAGAAAACAGACAGGTAAATAAGTCGACCCGTAGAAATCAAGCCATTCTGCGTTGCATTTTAATTACGTTTCTTTCCCCCCCCTTTTTTTTTAAAGAAACTTGCAATGCGCTTAACGCGGGAGAACAAGCGCAATTGGAACATGCCCTGGAACTGGGCTTGCAAGAAGGCTGGCTGGCTGGCTAGCTGGCGACGCGAGTTCCCTCGAAATCGATGGCGATCCGGGATCGGTTCTTGCTTCGGCCAGGCGCGCTGCTTGGTGCACACTGCGGTCTCATGGGCGGGGAACGCGCTCCGTCCCTGTCCAAAGGAACAGAGTCTCCCTTTCCAACTGCAGCCTCGCTCGCATTGCAACGGTTTTCTCTCTCTCTGTCTCTGCTCTCCACCCCGCCGCCGGCTCTCTCGTCTGCTCTTTCCTACAGCCTCGTCAGCTTCCGCATCCTTTCTTCGGCCGACTGCCTCCCCTGCACACGATCTCCCCAGCGTTTGCAGGCTCGCCCCCCATCCTTTCAAGTATTCCCACTACCCGCCTCTCCTAGTCTTTCAGCGTACTGTATCCCCCTTTTTGCAGACTATTTCCAGGAAACCTCTCCACTCTCCCTCCCTGCCTCCAGTCTTCCCCAGAACGCTTCCCACAATTCCTCTCTTGCAGTGCATCCACCTCTCTCTCCTCCTCCCCTTGGCAAATATCTGTTTCGCACACATTCATATTCTCTCTCTCTCTCTCTCTCTCTCTCTCTCTCTCTCTCTCCTCTCCTTGTCCCCAATTCTCTTCTCTGGGACCGCTCTTCGCATGCTGTCCCTCTCTCTTTCTCTCCGTCCGCTCTGCAATGCCTTCCTTGCGCAGGAGCGCAGCAAGCTCCTTCTCGCGGGGTTGTTGACGCATCTGTCGGAGAGCGCCAGGGACGGCGGGCCACCCGCTCCTCTCCTTCCTCTGCCAGGCAAGATTGCGGGAAGGCGGCGTGGGAAACGGGCACCGCGGAGGCGCTGCTTTTGCGCCACGTGCCTGGGCTTAAGTATCGCGGGAGGAGGGGGAAAGGAGAGGCAGGAGACCCGGGTACGCGCGATCTCTCTCCGGATCGTGCGGCGATCGCCTCCCTGTTGAGTTGGGAAAGGCTCTCCGCGCTCATTGCAGTGCTCCGTGTGAGCCCCCGTTTCTTGGGCGCTTTAGGAATCCAAACGGGGGAGCGCAGAGAATAGCGACTATCTCGCATGCCCAAGAATATCAATGGGGCTCGCTGAGGCCCCCAGATTTTACGCTAAATGCGGGATTCCCACGGCGAGGTGATGGGTCTCATGTTCATGTGTCCTCGTCTCTTCCTTTCCTTTAACTTCCTGGCAACCCTCGGCAATGTTTCCTCATCGGGTAGTTCCTGAGTTTTGCAGCCGACATACCTTTCCATCAGAGATGGTGGAAATGGTAGGCTGATTTATTTACGGTGCCAGGCCTCTGCATGTCTACTCAGAGGTAAGCCCCGGTGCAGTCAATGGTATATACTCCCAAGTAAGCGTGCAAGGTAAGCAACCTAACTGATGCGATTTCCCATCTTCTCCTCCTACACTAGATGGAGCGAGACGTCTCCATAAGAGTCCCCAAGGTTTTTTTTTTTTAATATATATACTATAGTCATATTAGGCTCTAAAATTTGAGAAGGAAAAACAGATCCGGGGAAATACGCGCGCGCACACACACATCCTTACACCTGCAAAGATGTCGAGGTTTGGGGCTTTTTTTCCGGCGAGGGGAGGGAGGGTGAGGGGGACATTTTTAAAGCCACCATTCCCGCGGCCACATACACAGGTAGATCAGATTCTCCAAACAGGATTTCGGAAGGGGTCACGTGGATTACGATGATACTGTAAGGAAAAGGTTAAATGCAGTGTGAACACGATAGTCGATCATTTGCTTGTGTGTGTGTGTTTGTGTGTGTGTGTGTGTTGCGGGGTGGTGGAAAGAAGTAGCGAATAGTTTAAGCGGTTTGACGGCATGGAGAAATGTAACTCGACAACTCCACCAAGGGACAAACGCGGGAAATGACACCAGAAGCAGCACCAAATCTGATGACCTTTTCATCCGTTAAAAGCATCCTGCTGGGTTTTTGCGCTTGTGTGGCTTGATCGCCCTGGCTGCTCTCTCTCTCTGAGACTGTTCATCCCCCCCCCCCCCGCAAAAAAACCCCTCCACTTTAAGTTTTAGACGAAATAGATTAACCGCTGTGTAATTACAGCAAAGGGCTTAGGAGAAGTCTGCCCTCCATTCAGACACACAGAATTCATTGGAACAAGGCTTGATATACAGTCACAATTATTAAGGCAAGGTGGGGAGAAGTATTCATCCCATAGCGGTACAGTGGTACCTCTAGTTACGAACTTAATTCATTCCAGAGCTCCGTTCTTAACCTGAAACTGTTCTTAACTAGGGGCGTGCTTTCGCTAATGGGGCCACCGACACATTACTTCATCTGAAGAGGCTAAATAAGGAAACGACAGACTTCCTTTTAATCACTAAGAGCCTCTCACTTTGGTGGTGATTCGGCTGAGTTTGAGCAGAGCAAGTCAGCTTAAAATTTGAAGGATATTCTTAGAGCCTCTTTTCAGTGCCCAGAATTTGTGAAGTAGGAAAGTGCACATTTCCCCCTTCCTGTTGCATAAGATGGTCCCACACAATTGGTACAAGGGCTTTCTTCACATAATAGGGTGTGATTTGTAGGTCGGGTTCAGCCCAGAAATGAATTTATACCTTCCTTTCAAAAATGTTGCCCCCCCCCCACTCTGTAAAACTAATGCTGTTGTACTTTAAGCAATATACAGAAAGAAATGCCCCCGTACTGAATTCCATGCTAAAAAGTGTCTTCATATTCTCTGTTTTTGTGTGGCAGGCTCCTGCTTTAAGTAATAATACAGCAGATCAAAGAAAAAAAGTGAAACAGCCCAATTTAGAAAGCAGAGGCCTTGTTTAAAATTAGATAGGTTTTCCTCCTCAAGCTTTTTTTTTAAAGATGAATAAATTGATTGATAAATAAATAAAAGTTGCTGCTTGATTGTCAGAACTGAGTATCACAGTTAGACTATGTACATGGTTAATTAAGGTTTTACATCTGTAGGGCAACATTTGAACTTGTCTCATTAAAAGGAATAAAGTGGATGTTGCATCCACAGATGATCTGATTGCCCTTTCGAATTCTTCAGTTGATGGAGAGTTCTCAGGCACCCAGAGCAAAACGAAAGACATGGGCATATAGATCTGAGGCTGGCATCCTGTAGTGCACACACTTGGGAATAAGTTCAACTGAACACACACAGCGTTTATAAGACTAAGCTGTGCATTATTCTCAGCAGCCTTGTGAGAATTTCTGTTGCAATATTTTGCAAACAAAAATATTTTGGGTCTGTGCAAATTTGAAGATTTTTTCCCTTCAGGATAAATGCACCCTATTGTTATATTAATCACATATCTAAAATGTGGGGCAAACAGCTTTTAATCAGCAAGTTACATTTCTGAAAAGGGATAGTTCTGACAGCAGCTATGTACATCCAGGATCTGGGTAATCACCAAATAATAACCTAACACAGACAGCGTGTCTATCTGTTAAACGGTTCAGAGAAACTCTTAAGATGCCAAACCTCCATTTCTGTTGAAACGTTGTCATACCAAAGTGTTAAATAAGCTTATGATTTCCTAAGGAAAGCCATAAACCCACCTAATGGTTTGCTTTGTAGACCCCTCTTTCAGTATTAATTTTAAAAGATGCATCCTCCAATCCTGTTTTGTGTACAGGAATTACTTTCCAGAAACGTGGTCCAGGATCGAAGAGTTCTATTTCTGTACAGTGCATGGTGGCTTAGTCACTTCAGTAATAACAGTATGCTGAGAACTTGTGCCCCACCCCATCCCCAAATGCCTGCTTGCTGTCACATCTTTCCCTTCAACACTTATTCCGTCTCATTTCTTTCTATATACCTTATTGAGTGAACCCCTTACTTTGTATTTCCAACAGACACAAAGCCTAAACTCCATAGGACATATATTCTTTTCTGTACCTCCCCATCCTTCTCCTCTTTCTTCCTCCTCTCAGTTGCCTGTACTGTTATAATTAAACCAGATTTCCTCACCCTCCCTTCTCCTTCATTTTTCTCCAATGTTTTTCTCAGTATATATTTTAAATGGAATGTTCCTTTGGGCTGTGCTGTTTTGTTCTGCCTATGGAACTCTGTAAGCTACACGGGCTAGATTACAACTTCATCTTTTCCTGAGAGCATCTGCTTGTTGTTTTTGCTTCTCCCTTCTCTCCTGTGGGAGGCTCCAGAAAAGTACAGGAACAAAGGTTTTCTGCATGCTGTTCACATGCGTTTAGTGCATGTATTTGTGTAAAATGAATGGGCGTGGACAAGCACACCATAATTTGTAATTTTCTTTTTTGGTGTGTACATTTGTCCAGGCGTAGATAGCACTTGCTTGCATTTCCACCCCAAACATTTTTCTCCATCTCAGAATGAAATCTGAGCTAGCTGTCATCCTTGACTCCTTTCCTCCCTGCTATCCCAGGTTGTGGTAATGGACCTTCCTTGGGTATTAGGGAGCCTGGAAAACAAAGTTCTCCAAGGTGATGGAGTTCACATAATCTCCCAGGGATCACAATGCTCAGGGTGTTGGAGTGGCAATATTTGAAGCACCAATGAGTGATAGAGGAAGATTTGCACCATGCCTTAGTTTGAACCTTGCAGAGCTTCAAAGCCTAGGTTTATACAGTGGTACCTCGCAAGACGAATGCCTCGCAAGACAGAAAACTCGCAAGACGAAAGGGTTTTTGGTTTTTTGAGTTGTTTCGCAAGACGATTTTCCCTATGGGCTTGCTTCGCAAGGCGGAAACGTCTTGCAAGTTTGTTTCCTTTTTCTTAAAACCGTTAGTACAGTTGCGACTTGACTTTGAGGAGCAACTCATAGCACGCGGTGTGGTAGCCTTTTTTGAGGTTTTTGAAGACTTTGGTGATTTTTGAAGCTTTTCCAAAACTTTTCCGACACCGTGCTTCGCAAGACAAAAAAAACACCGCAAGACGAAAAAACTCGCGGAACGAATTCATTTTGTCTTGCGAGGCACCACTGTATAAATTATGGAGAAGACTCTTCTTACCTATTAGCCAACTGTGATTCCCCCCCTCCTTCATGTTGTCCAAAGCTTTAGGAGAAATTTCCAGTTTCTCTTGTTGTATTCCAATGCTTTTAGCTTGTTTTTGTTCATATACATGCATAACCCAGTAACAAACATAGCACACAAGAGTCACCCTTCCCAAACTCCCATAAAGCCAATAAGAAGGAAAACCAGACACTGTTTTAAGCAAACTGTGTTTGACTTCTGTTCCCATTTCATTTTGCAGGTGAAGGAGGTTGGAGGCTCTCTGTTTAATGTCACCTGTCCCTGACTTGATTCTGCTTTTGCTGACGGTTCCTCTATAGTTTGAAAGACAGAGTGAAATCATTTTTGGCTTGTAAATGCAGATGACACTAGTAGTTCTTACTGAAATTATTATCATTGTTATTATTTATTGAATTTATATACCACTCTATACCCAGGGGTCTCAGGGCTGTTCACAGAATAAAATCAAGATATAAAACCACAAAATACATAATAAAAATAAAAGCAACAACCCAATAGCCCCCCTTTGCTTTCATTCAGAATTCCTGCAGAGATTCCTGATTCATTCATTGGGATAATATGAGGCCTGTTGGCATGAAACAGGCACATCATCCCCAGCTACCACACAAAGATACCCTGTTTTTATTCAGCCATGATTGTATATGGAAATTGATTCTGCACATGAGGCTTGTGCAAGTAGACTGCATTTGGAGAGAATAGCTTCCCATAATAGCGACTTGCTGGTTCCACAGCATGAGCTGGATTTGCACATCTGAACTTACCTCCCAAGGAGTTTTTGGCTTCACTTGCAATTTTGAAATGGCAGCTTTACTCATAACAACCTTTTGAGGTTGGTTAGTCCAAGAGAGAAAGCCCATATCCTTCATTTGCTTGACCATATCCTTCCTTTGAATTTCCTGACTAAGGAAATACGTGAACCTGAATTTCTTAAATCTATTTAAAGTCAGTACATACCATATTTAATATATTTCTGGCTAAGGGATGAGCAGTTCACAATGCAGTCGACTAAGTGAAGTCTACATATAAATATGTCTCCAGTTAAATAATTTATTTCTTCCCTTAATTAAAAACAAATGATCTTGCATCTGCATCTGCATCTGCATTAACTGTGTGCCCAATGGACTTCACAGAGCTCAAATTGGACGCCTTCTATTGCTTCTCTGTGATTTGCTGCAAAACCTTGAGCAGTGACATGGATCCTCAATATATGGTACTCCTAAAGTTACTTGATGGGACGCGGGTGGCGCTGTGGGTTAAAGCCTCAGCGCCTAGAGCTTGCCGATCGAAAGGTCGGCGGTTCGAATCCCCGCGGCGGGGTGCGCTCCTGTCGCTCGGTCCCAGCGCCTGCCAACCTAGCAGTTCGAAAGCACCCCCGGGTGCAAGTAGATAAATAGGGACCGCTTACTAGCGGGAAGGTAAACGGCGTTCCGTGTGCTGCACTGGCTCGCCAGATGCAGCTTGTCACGCTGGCCACGTGACCCGGAAGTGTCTGCGGACAGCGCTGGCCCCCGGCCTATAGAGTGAGATGGGCGCACAACCCTAGAGTCTGTCAAGACTGGCCCGTATGGGCAGGGGTACCTTTACCTTTACCTTTTTAAAGTTACTTAGGGGGTCATTTGGAACAGAGTAACAGTGAGTAGGGAAAGAGTTCAGTTTCTCTGCTCTAAATCCCCTCTCTGCCAAAATGCCTTTGATTTTTGGGAAGAAAGCATTGGGGCAAAGTTATTTATGCTACCTCTTATCTAACAGGTTGCTTCCAATGGAGGTCATTGCACCATCTATTACCTGCGGATGCACCTGATAGCAATATTGTTGTGCTCCAAGCTATAACGGATTGAGCGTAGAGAGAGCCTGCATACAAAATTATTTATTAGAAAGTTTTCAGCTGTCTTCTCTTGCTTTCGCTCTTTACAAATATCATTTGATTTCCCTTTTCAGGAATAATTACTGCTCTTTTGTAAAATGAAAACAAAAGAGCAAAAAAGCAAAATGTAAGCCTATATACCTTATTGAAAATTAAGAAAGTAAACATGGCAACAGAGGAAAGCAAATTAGAATAAAGTATATATATAAGGGTCTGGTGACTTCTACTTCAGTGTATCTGAAGAAGTGTGCATTTACACAAAAACTTATACAGTGGTACCTCGCAAGACGAATGCCTCGCAAGACAAAAAACTTGCTAGACGAAAGGGTTTTTTGTTTTTTGAGCTGCTTCGCAAGACGATTTTCCCTATGGGCTTGCTTCGCAAGATCTTGCAAGTTTGTTTCCTTTTTCTTAACACCGTTAATACAGTTGCGACTTGACTTCGAGGAGCAACTCATAGAACGCGGTGTGGTAGCCTTTTTTGAGGTTTTTAAAGACTTTGGTGATTTTTGAAGCTTTTCCAAAACTTTCCCGACACCGTGCTTCGCAAGACGAAAAAAATCGCAAGACGACAAAACTCGCGGAACGAATTAATTTCGTCTTGCGAGGCACCACTGTACCAGAACAAACTTAATTGGTCTATAAGGTGTTACTGGACAATTTTTTATTTTTTATTTCGACTGTGTCAGACCAACATGGCTACCTACCTGAATCTAAAATAAAGCAGATTTGTTAATAGCTTATCCGACAGTGTAATTTGTTCTGTTCTGCACTGATCAAAACTACTGTGTATAATACCATTCTATATTTGGTTTCCCTAACCACATGGGAGCAGACATATTAGATCATTAATTGCTAGATTGTTTCGTCATTTGCACCACAAGAAATAAGGAAGATTTAATGCTATTTTGAAGGCAGCGGTGAAAGCAATGACATGCTACCTGATGCCGTTTGGACAAGCAAACGTGTAAGGAAATAAATAGGCATATGTAGCAGCATCTAGATTGGGAGAAGAAGAAGAAGAAGAGTTTGGATTTGATATCCCGCTTTATCACTACCTGAAGGAGTCTCAAAGCGGCTAACATTCTCCTTTCCCTTCCTCCCCCACAACAAACACTCTGTGAGGTGAGTGGGGCTGAGAGACTTCAAAGAAGTGTGACTGGCCCAAGGTCACCCAGCAGCTGCATGTGGAGTCATTTATTTGCAGGTCACTTCCCCACACAAATAAATGTAAAATAAATGGGAGTCATTTATTTGCAGGTCACTTCCCCACACAAAGAATCATGCTCAAAGTGGCTTGCAACAAAGAAACAGGGATGCATTTAAAACAAACACTACAAAAACAATTTCATGATTGCATAGAAAGATAACAACATCGTAACAATTTCATAATAATATAGCAAAACAACAATATAATAACATACAAGAAACCACATTTCAACATTATAAATATAGCAAGAATACATAAACAACTTGCAGCATCCAATCGCAAAAATAGCAAGGAAGTTTCACACCTTAGTCCTAGAAGCACCCCTGTCTTGATGCTGCTCGTATTCCCTCTCCTGCAGCAGCATACATTTTAAACCAGCACCTTTAAAAAGTGGGGGGATAAAAGGTTGTGGTGGAGACTACTAGAATGTTAAAACTTGGCAGCGATGTGGGCTGGATTTCCTACAGTAACTGGTAACAGTAATTTGAGACAAAAGGTCGAAGCCTTTGGAGACAAAAGATGTTTTGGCATCTTAAAATCACCCTAAATGATTTCTGGAGGACTTCAATCATATTTTTATATTTTTTATTTTATTTGTATGCCGTCTTTCATCTGAAGATCACAGGGTGGTCTTTGCATGAAATTGCAAAATGAAAGCACTAAAACATAAAAAAGCAAAATAAAGGAATAAGCCCTCTCCCACAGACACATTGAAAAGGCCATAGAATATTAATCAGTCAAACGCCTGGTTGAAGTGAAACATTTTCACCAGGTGCCTAAATCTATGTAAGGAAGGCTTCTTGGGGAGAGCATTCCACAACTGGGGTGCCACCACAGAAAAGGCTCGTAACTGTGTTGTCACCTTTTGGACCACTTCTGAGG